TTTGAGCGTCGGAAACTACAGTGGATAAAAAAGTTGGCACAACTTTAATTATCAAATTAACAGTTCTCTTGAATTGTAATACGCGCAAAACATCGATTTTATTAATATTTTTGTAATTTCCAAATATTTCTGTTCCTTATTCTTCTTTTTTGAATTTTTATATGTACAGGTGACGTACTCCTAGTTTTTTTTTTTGTCATGGGCCTCATCCTGTATACCTAATTTAATTGCACTCTGTCGCAAATTTCCCCTGAAACCGATATAGATCTCAGCATTCCTATTTCCCTCGGTGAATATTAAATTTCTAATCCCATTATATGACGTACACCCTCGTATCATTACGCGTCCCCCCATTGTGTTCTACTGTTTGCTGAACATTGCATGTTCGATGGACGGTCTTCTCCATACAAATTTTTGCCAAAAGAAAAATTTCTGACAACTACCATCTTAAATTACGTCCTTTTCTTACGAAGGTGTAACGTTACTTTAACACATAAAAACATTTAAATAAAAAGCGAGCGTGCCCCTTTTTATTCACTGCACTTGTCCAAAAAAGGTCGGTCGTTTCTTTATCCAATATATCGCAACCGAGAGATATAGTTTTTCAATCGGTTCGAAAATTTCCCGAGGAAATTTGGCACCGTGCCCCTCGATGCGTACTTACGGATGACGCGTAATGTTGGGGACGCCAGTGATTGACCCACTTTAATAGAGTCTTATAAAATAGCCGCGTCATCAAAATCTTTGTAGGTGGCTGGGAGAGTTGTTCTTCGGGCTGAACAATCATCCGCGATGTGTCACGAACGCGGGGTTTAATTTAATTATTAAATCGTAACGGCCTCGAAACGTCAAGCGTCTTCACGGAGCAGCCGTTTAATAAAGTTTGGTTCGTACGAAGCGTAACGCTTGGCTCCGTCGCAATCCGCGCGCACTTCTCCAAACGCATGATCAAAAAGTGATGGGACGGTCGGAGGGGTCTTAGCCTTTTCTTGCGCACTCAATAATTTCCTCTTTTCTTCTGCTTTTTTTTTTTACCCCGCGTTTGTTCGATCCTGTAACCCGACTGCCACCCTTCTCTCTGACTCTCTCGCCGCTAAACTGGGGTTCATGACACCCCAGCGTCATTTAATTTAGTCTCGAGGGCTCGGAGAAGTGAGCCACTCGTACATACAAGTGAGCGCCCTCAAACGATTTTCGAGGCTTCCAGCTTCGTTGGTTTGCCTATAATTAAGAACCGCGAAACTCATTTTAATCGCGAGAGGCAGAAAACGCTTTAGCGACGGCAATTAGAATACCAGCGACGTTAAGGATTTTTAATGAAAAGAAATAGCACAGCTCCGAATAACTTGATTTTCTTCTTCTTTCTAGACCTTATCGATAGATTGTTGAATTGGTCTAAACAAATGCTATCTTATTATGGATTAAAGCATGTAAAGGTCTATTTGAAAAGATTAATCTCTTTGTTAAATCTTCTCCATCGCTTCACTTATAACAAAATTATTTACTCTATATAATTTGCTCCTTTGTTCCAAATAACTTTTGTAAAAACATTTTTTCGACATCTTCATCCCTTCATGGTATACTTAACCATGTAATGGTTAATTTCGGTGTTTTGGTTGAATGCTATCGTCGATTTGTCAATAGCAGACATTACCAGGCTGAATGCAGGAATCTAGATATAGAAGACAGCGTAAAGAAAACAAAGGGAAAAGTGTTCGATCGAATTCATCATAAATGTCCCGGTTCCTCGGTTAGTAACGCATCGTTGCTATAGGACATTTTTCAAATTTATTATCACGTTTAACCCAATTAAATCAAACGCACGCCAAGAATATTGATAAGAGACTAGATTTAATTAAATTTATGAATTAAAACGAACTATAATTTATCAGCTACTGATTAAACGGTGTAATAACCTGTATTGATTAGCATATAGGTAAGGTTAGGAAGTACTTAGAGCAACAACCTGGATCGATTATTGAATTCAGGTTTAGACTGGATATTTTTTCCCATATGGGGGCGTATTCACGGCAGATTATCAGGATAATATTAACCCCTATCGCGGCGGTATGCGGACAATACTAAAATCAATAAACCCGAAAGGGAAACAGTGGCTTCTTATTCATTTTTCGAATATTTTGCTCTAAATATTCAAGCGCAACTTCTTATACACGCATCTACTTTTTATACCTAAAAATCTCATTACCGACATTCGTACACGCGAGCCTTAAAACTATATATTCTAACGCGACTTAGAACTAAGGTTTCTATGGCGGAAGCGATGTCTTCGTTCGATGCAATATCTAGCTACGAGAATCAAGAAAATGTTAGTAATTAGACACAAAAATAAATACGGACATCGTAGGATCAACGAAGAATGAGCCCGCGCCCCTCGCATACCTGCTACGGTCGCGGCTCGTGACTCGCGGTCACTTGTACTCGAAGAATAGAGGGGCAAGGGTAAACAATAATCGCGTGACTGTTGATTCAGATGCTCGTTGGATCCATCCACGAAAGAATTTACGAAACATTAATACCACAGTAAAATCATATTCCTTGTCATTGTTTAAATAATAAGTATCGTTAATAATTAATTTAACTGTCGACAGAAATTAATTTTTAGTTATTCAAGTCAATAGGTACAAAAATATAGGATAATTTCTCACGATTAATGTTCTCAATGCATACTTATTCTGAACTATTGTGCCTAAGTAGTTACACTTCTAACGCGCGGCATTCCACTCATCCACTTTTATTTTTTCTAAAATTACATGCTACCGAAAAAATTCGTTTTCATCTTGAAATTAGTGGTGTGTTAGAAAGGTTTTTCCAAAAGGTCCTTCGGGATTTTTTTTTAACGAATCACAGACGGTATGGAATGTGTCTGATTTTTTAAATTAAACGTGAAAGATGTCGTTTATGTGCTCACCATTTATTAAATAACAAAATTTTAAAGCTCTTAGAAAATTTTTTATCAAAGAACCTAATCAACAAAGAATCTGTTCATGGTGGTCGCGTACGAATTGCAACCATTTATTAGATCTTCCGACACAAAGTATTCGGTCTTTCAGATAAAAAGGTATATAATACTGTGTATAATATCATTTAAGCACGGTCGAGCGAAAATTTCATTAAAACCTATGCACCGTACTCGCTGTCCAATTTATTCACGGCGGAATAAAACGCGAATTTCATCAACATTCTTTCGACTCGCAGCATCGTTTCTGTGTGGCAAGCTTCAGCGAGACAGCTAGTTTACGAAATATTAAAATTGAAGGCTAACTGGTACATAAAAAATACGTGCATCCTTCCGTTCCTTTCATCTCAAACTGAAAAGAGAGGTGCAAGGTGACTCAACCCAATTTCGATGCCAACCTAACGATCGACACTTGCAACTTATTTTGTTAATACCATTATTAACTTATTGACAAAATAATAGACACAATAAAAAGGATTGCGGTTTTTATTTTGAATAGATGGGTTGAATTCAGCCTGGATGGGTTCAAGCGATATGTACTTGTTCTTCGGTACATCGTTTAATGCCTCAAGTTAATGTGACTTCTAAATTACATTTTAGAGATAAATATTTAAATATAGATGAACCTATATGTTCATAAAAAAGTGGAATATATTGACTGTGCTCCATAACTCCATCCTCTGTCTTCTCATATTATAATGTAGATGAAAAATATCACCAAAAATGGTTCACTATTAGGACATTTTAATTAGGACATTTATCTTACAAACAATTTCGCTTCGCGTATATATTTAACATACATAAAATAATTTCCATCATTCTATTAAAACGCATTAGTGTGTTAGATACGAGAGAAATATTTGAAACATATCAACATAAAGAAATACACGTGCGTGCACATACATTCATTCAACAAGTATCCAAGGGAGAAATGAATAGATAGAAGGTGTGACGAGAGAAAAAAGTAGACGACAAGCTGACTACACGGTTGATTCTTTTATTTTCAAATCGAGTCGTCGTCGCGACCAAACGAATAACTGATTTTTAACCAACGCTTCATCCATTTCTGGCGTCTTCGTCTGGTGTTGCGGTGCATCGAGATGCTCGTATCGAGCAACGTTAATTAAGCAACGGTGTCGATAGCGATTAAACGATAGAGGGATGAGGTGATAAGGGGGTTCGTGAATGTGGAAGGACGCAAAGAAGGAGGTAAGCGGAACGACAGGAATAGGGGGCGGTTTGCTGCAATAGCGCTGCCGCGTTCATATCGACCCGAACCTCCAGACTCCATCTTGCTTGCCCCACATATACCTATGTACGTGTACATGTGCCTATTACTTGCTCGCGCACGTATACCACAGACCTGCCCTGCTCTCTGCCATGTTTTACTCTTCTTTCGCCGCGTTTTTCTTTCCTTTATTCCCGTGCCCTTTTCTCTTCCTTTGGCGTTACACCACCACGCCAGGGAAGTGTCTCGTTGCAACCGTCTGGAATCGACATACAATACACCGATTTCTACGTCGGCTGATAGCTACACGAGCTGGAATACATTACACTTCCGACTTTCTAAGTATCTCTTGTGGTGCGTCGAGAAATCTTAGATTCAAACACTGCGAAATCATTTTTATCCCGATGGTGTTACGTGTTTGAAAAGATGGCGCCGGGCTCTCGATAGCGATAGAAACGGGCGTACGCGGTTCATTTGCGCAGAGTTCCAGTTTCGGAATGGTTGGGCTTCAATCAGAAGATAGACAAAATTTAACTTCTCTGATACAAACGTATTTAAATTTAGAGATCTCGATAATATCTGAATATTATAACATTTTGAAATATTTGTTAAATACGAGTCCAGAATTTGAGGATATCGCACGTAATCACTTCTCCAATCATACAATAGTATTCTATTTCAAACAGTCCCTCAGTGTAGAGCCTTATTACGTAAGATAACATCGATATGCACAGCTGAATGTATTCCCATGAAAATGGTAATTGAATTTACTAATAGAAACTGTAATGCATCGTATAATACTTCATTTAGTTCACTTTATTAAAAGGTAAACTGATACAGTATTATATAAATCTATTTCATAACTTCTAAAAGGTATAATTATTAAATATTATACTTGTATATACAATATTTCTAAATAAGGGGATACATTAAGGCGTTCAAAAGGCCTAGATTATCATCCATTTAAGAAAAAGAATGTAACAAATATAAATTTTGAAAATGAATACCAAAGTGTGTTAAAGGCATGAATGTTCTTCATATTTGCTTATATTCTGGTTACATATGTTTTTAGTCTTTCAATCCGATCAGATTGTGTTACCTAATAGATAGAAGGCAACCAGAGAGGGTACTGACAAATTTAGCGTTCCTTAGATTTGTTTATATCCTTGTTACGTATGTTCAACCTTCCAATGCGAGCGTGATTATGTTACGTAATCGGAGGGATGACAATCCTTTGATCGACATCTTCATTGATACATTCCAGTGGTGACAACCTAGAACCGTGTAAAAATACTCATTTCACCCTGAGCTAATTTTATACGATCCAAGGAAATCCAAGAAAAAATATCTCAATACTTTTCATAATATTCTACTCCAGAATCGTGAAAGTATATAGTAATTTCGTAATAACAACTTGCAATAACACTTCTTTGCTAAGTATACACAAAGAAAAAAATTTGTCAACTGGTCACGTTTCCTTCATTCATAAAGCGAAAAGTCGATTTTCATGTTTCTCACTCGAAGAAAACCAGCAAAGATAATCAAAATGCAACAGTTGTAATAACATTTTATATTGACGCGACGTTAATGTTCGAACATTTTTATGAAGTAAATATAGTGCCAAAAAGGTTGCAACAGTGAAGCATAGTGATCTACTTTGTAGTTGAAATCACGCCCGACCCCAAAGTTGGGGCCACCCGACGCAAACGTTGCACAAATTGCGAATGAAATACCGACTTCGCCGTCGTCGATCATCGATTTGGTTATTTTGCAGCTGATTTCGTCATAGTAACCGGAAACAGAATTTATGGAGATAAACGGCGACGGCGAACACGGGCTATGACACCTCCGCGTGATTTAACTCTTTAAACTCGTTAGGACGTTTGCAAACATTCGGAACTGGTCGATCGGACGAGTAACGCGATAGTTCACCTGGATTTTGTTTGTTCGACCACCGGAAGAGCGTAGTGAATGCGTTGACGAGATTTATTGTTTGCAAGTATCGGATTATCCTACTTTAAATTCTATCTCCGTGAGAGGTTCGAAGCATAAACGCGAAACACAGTTAAATCGTTCCTCTGTTCATCAATTTTAGACTCTGTTACTTACTTAGCCTAGTTTCGAAGGAAAACAGGGAAGAATACAGTGTCGCGAGGTACATTTATGCTACCCTTAGACAACGAGTGAAACTAGACAATTATCTCTGACAAATTCTTTCTTGCAACATTGCATTTTCATTTTAGACCATCGTGTGCCAGTTTCCAACTCGTAGGAGGTTGAGGAACAACTTTTTAATAGTTTTGAAATTTATTTTAATGCCTTGTGGTTTTGGTAGCTGAGCACGAATTTTGAAACGAGAAATTTCAACTGGTTAAGGTATTTGGTAAATTTTTCGAATTTTACGAAGAAAACATTTTGAAATGGTCATGTTCTCTTTATTCATAGAACGAAAAGACGATTACGTGCTTCTTATCTGAAGAGAGCCAATGCAAATTGTCGTAACGTGATAAATATTCAATCACATAATTACTAACTCAACAAGACACAAATTACTGTAAAAGTCCAAGTCTCTATCTATCTTTTCCTTGAAATTATATTTACGGTGTCTAAAACTTCAGAATTATATTTCGATATAATTTTATATTATATTCTTAAATTTTGTTTATCGAAATAGAAATATTATGCAAAATATCGTTAATACAACATCTCAAATGAAATTGAAGTTGAAAGAAGAGGAATATTCGTGTCAGAAATTAGCAACATTCTTGTCTAGATACAAATTTTGGAGTAACGAATAAACGGTTGTTTATCCTTTATTCATTACTCCAAATTTGTATCTGAAATTGTTTCGAATAAAAATATACATTTGGTTAATGCCTGTTTCGAACTGTATTTACTATTCGAGTCGATGAAGCGTTTGAATATTTGAACACAGGGTTTCGACAAGTACTTTCAGCTCTAATTATAGCGGAACATCGAAGCGTGGTATTTTCGGTGGAAAAATTATTCCGCAATGTTCAACGTGCTGTCAGCGAGACTTCAATCGACAAATTCTGAAATATCTGCGTTTTATTCCGGACGCATGCGCAACGAGCACGACCTCGACCCTTTCGACCACGCTCTTCATTGGTCCCCCTCGGTCAAAGATGGAGCTCTCCTGTTCTCGTTTCCTCCGGCGTGTCGACCACACATTTAATTAAGCCCCAATGAAAAGGACGCGTTGGCGGCGATGAAGAGATTACGTTACTGCCTAAAGTAAACTGACATATATTCCAACTTCGGGAACAAACAGATTCTCCGACAGCAAAGGGTGTCGTTCCGTTAAAAAATTGATGGCAACGTGCTGAAAGCACGGTCCGATTCAATTCCATAGTGGGCTTGTAACTAAAGTACATTACGAATTAAAATTTGATACCCTGACGGGGAGGATTTGTTGCTTCTCCATTTTTCACTGTTACCGATCGCTGTAGATATCAATTTAACGTATCACGAATTTGTGTCTCGAAGAGAAGTCAAGAAGAGAGAAACGTGTACAGATAATGATTGAAGAAAGGTAGGACAAAAGTTAGTAAATTTAGAAAATGAACAAGTGGATGAAATAACTGAAAGTGAAACAAAGAGGAATGAGATGTTTTTCTCTCCGTGCGATCTGTAATCCTTGCAAATCGATTGTCCGTGCATTTGAAGTCTCCATTAGCAGGGATAATGGAGTCCTGTTGTACTTTGAAAAGGAGCAAGGACATCTTGATTGCAAAGATAATTTACTTCGCATAATAGTAGACTAACGTGGTAATACAGAAATTTAACCATACAGTGCGCAGTGATAGATGTTTGTATCGACTTAGTTTTACAGTGAAATTATATTAGAGATGTATTGTTAATTCTTTACAAAGTATTTACATAAAACATATCTAATATCATATTACTCATGATATAATATTCAAGCATGCAAATATATTCCACTTCGTATAAATATAATTATAATAAAATTAAAATAGTCATGCATTGTACATACAGTTTACATACAATAATAAATACAAATATTTTTGTGCGAATAGCGTGAAGATTATCAAACTAGATTTTAGTTTTGAAGATCATTTTGATAGAAACTTTGTTACGTGGACAAATAATATATTAGAGGGGTGTTGCTTTACCTCGTGTACTACAATTACACTCTGCCCTCCAGCATGATATAACGATATAACAGGTTCAGGGTTCAATCGTTTAAAATCAGCATCTCATCGTCGTCGTAAATTCATCGTTTGGTCGTAGCGTGAAGCAAAATACTATTATTTTGCGACCTGCGGATGCTTTGCAGTGTTTTGAAGTTTTGAAGTTTCCATTTCTTCCTTCGTCATTACACTTATTACGAATAAGAATCTTGTTAAATATTTCTATTTTCTGCCCATAATAGTATCTGAATAGTTTTTACAGCAATTTAGTAATATTTAACTCATTATAGATTATTTTCAATGAAATCTTTAGAAAGTGTGCGTCTTTCAAATTTCTTTAATGTTCTCGATATTTGTTCATTCTTACATTTCCACGCGACGTCTGGGTGACTCATGACTGCATTTGCTTACTCTGCTCGCTTCAATGAAGTATGTTTGCGAAATACATGCCAATAATAGTAGCTCATTCGTTTCTAGAGCTGTTTGCAGTATTTAACCTTTTCAAGCCTGACGACAACATGTGTGTATATCTTATGACGAATAATTGCATGGTATATGTACTATATGTATATTCAAACATGTACGTTACACGTGTATATATTTCAAATAATAGATTTAATTGCACTTGCAATTTATCAAAGGGTAACAAAAGGTTCGCAGTAGGATCAAGACTTCACAAAAATATGGTGGACAATATTAACAATTTTATTCCTAACCCTTAACCATTTTTAAGTAATTAAATTTTGTTTGCTCGTGCTGATGAGTTGTCGGTCGTAAATGTACTCGCTTCTGATCGTTCTAAAAACAGATGCTTCTATCCAGAATATTTAGAAAGCGTTCGTCTTTCCAAATTTGTTGAATGTCTTCGCTGTTTTTCTCTCCCCCGTACTTCATGTTGTTTGAATGACTCACGTCTGCATTCGCGTTGCACGCGGCGAAGTAAAGAAATTGGGACGCGCGACAAAGAGCAGACAACAATTCATGACCCAATTTTCGGCGTTGACCGCCGCGATACGGTATAAATCACGGGACTTACCTTGAGAGAGGTATAGCCGAATATTTCTGAATACCCGCTTGATTATGAATTATCCCCGTCAATCACAATAACCCCGAATGTCCCGACAAGAGCCAGAGGAAACATTTAACCGATTTAACGGGAGTGCTTCCGTTCAACTGACTGCACGAGACTGACATAGTACTATCATCCTGGTCGTTGATCGGGTTCTGTTGTACTGGAGCATCGGTCGAGTCACCATTCAGGAATTTCGATGATGCCTTAACTACTGGTCCACTCAGAAATAGTTCGCAACTCGTAAGAGAATTTTCTATATTAGTATCGAGTGTAGAAATTAATTCTTCCGAAAGTAAACATATCATTTATTTTTAAAAAAGAATGGAATAATTTTATTCTTCCCTCAGTCACACATTTCAAAGGAGTACATGTTGTAAAAGCAAAATGTAGAAGTCAATCAGTGTGTTTCATTATTTAGAAGGTTGGTACTTGAAAGTAACGAAACGATAAGTAAATATTTCTATTTAAGATGCAGATGTAATTGATGGAATGCAAAGGCATATAATTTATTTCTACACCTAATATTACAGTTTCTTTCTAAGAAATTTCTGAAAATACCTCTCGTTTTAAAGTCGTTAAACTGCTGTGTCTCCTTAAACTAGGCTGACATACTGTTATGCATACTGTAACTAAGTATATCTAAACAAAAGCTTGTCTGTTTCTTCAAAATGAGCATTTGGTAGATAATCGACAGTTAGTAGGTTCCGACGAAAACAGCCTGAAATTAAAAAGTCTATGAATAGGCTTCCGCCAGATAAAGCGTTAAGCGGCAGTCTTACTCTTTAATAAAACTTGCTTTCATAAAGTATTTATCGAATACTTCGCCTTGTGCCTTTCAAAACTTCGTCTCTACCTTTTCCTTTTGTGCTGGAATTGAAAAATACTTTCAACGAAATGCCATAGCTGTCGAGAATACAATGCTCATCGTTGTATTCGTCGTGCTTTAATGTCACGGGGAAAGGGAAGTTGGGAAGTTTAATTTTATGACGTACGTGTGTTACGGACTTTAACCATTCGCGCTTTGTGAGGTTTCGCGCATTTCGTTACAGCAGCTTCGCGATCTCGTAAATGTCAGTTAACATTGTATATCTATTTTTTGAAAAATACTCGAGGCACTCCAGGGATAAATCATTTTCATCGCAAAGAACAAGAATTTATTTTACAATGTTAGCAATATGAAACAGTGTAGCTTCTTAAATAATAGAAGAAAGTGGAAAGTACTCTAACATTTCGCAATTTCCAAACATTTTATTAGTCTCAAACCGTTCAACCTCAGAAAACCAAGTTTTTTTTATTTTACCCTACAAATTAACAAACGTTTGATAACAAATTTAAATCACGGTATAAATTATAAACTGGAGTAATAACTGAATAATTGAATTTACCGTAATACATTTAAATAAATTTAACAAATTTAAAACAATATATACAATTACTTGCTAAAAAATTCAAGAATAATTTTCGCTGCACGATAAAAAGCCTCTTTTGGTGGATGCTTCGATTCGAACTGAAAACAATTTCAATCGTCAGTTAATTTCTACTTCCCAAACAAGTTGTATTTTTTATTGAAAGTAGCTAATTTCTTTTTCTTCGTGGTGTAACGTGCGCTGTTAAAAGATTCTTGGACAGCGTCCAAAAGTAGGGGATATGAAATTTTGGCGGTTGCTCGTGGGTCAGTAGCAGCGAGGTAGTAAGTGCTTCTTGAGCGAGTGTATCCGGTGCTTGAACTATTATAACGGTAACGATACAATCTTGAGCATCCTACTGTTAAAGCTAGAAAGTATAGCACACGTTTTACAAGCACAATCGTTTGATTCGTACACTGTAACCTATTTCATATAGAAACGGAGAAATACGATCGATATTAAAGGGATGTATATCATCAAACATATATGTACATCCAGTGAAATAATTTAAAATAATTTCTTCGCTACCATTTCCTTATTCTCCTTTCTCCAACTTTAAGCTTTTCGAAAGTATGCTAAATTCGTCAAAAGAGGAAATCATTTAAGCATTCCTCACCGTGCGATTTGTTCAAGAAGCTTTCGAGACTTACTACTTTGCATCGTATAATTTGTCGGTCATTAGAATAATTGTAGGGAACAGTGACTGGAGTGATAAGAGCGTTAAAGTTGTAGAGTTTTAAAAACTGTAGCAACGGAGAAACTCTAGGGCAATTTTAAAATCGATTTAATCTCATCTTGAAACCGAGAGAGAAATTACGCGTAGAGTACATTGTTAGCGAATTTAATTACTTATGAATTTTAAATAATTTAATACAGCGCAAGGTTGATTATCAGGTACTTGTACAATCATTATTATTCACCGACTAGTACATTCGAGTCGACGCATTTTTTTCAGAGAAAAAACTGTTTCGTTGTTATTTTATTTGAAGAAAAAGAGAGTTCAACAATGCAGATGAACTGTTTGGGGAATTACGAATCGAATGACAAATCATTTTCAATGAAATAATTAAAAAATTATATGAAAGTCAAAAAAAAGTCGACACTGTCACCGAAGGTAAAAAGAGTACTAAATATTACGTTCTCCTTTGAATTCATATTATTTTTATTTAAGTTCGGACAGTACACCCTATATAAGCTAAATCGATATTTGTACTCTTTCTTCAGCAGTAAAAACGTAAAAGATGTATGCTAAGTAGCCTGAGACTTGTACATAGTACTGTACGTCTTGTTTTTTTTATTGCGTTAATCCTCTGTTTTACTGTTGTGTTACTGTACATTTCCACTGTTCTTCTCGTTTCGACCACAGTACCCAACGACTTGTATAAACCGATATTCTTTCAACATTTCCCGAGGCTCGGTTTCATTTTCTATTTATAGTGTGTTGTTGGTGGTACGTAATCGGGCTCACGTGGATATGAAGGAGCGTGCCTTTTAAATCACATTGAAAACCATGACTCGAGGATCAGCTTTTTCAGTAAATCGAGCGACGCTGTGCGTACACGAATATATGCCGTCATCTTGGTCAACCGAGGCCGAGGTAAAAATCATCGTAAAAACCTGTAATATCGAAGCGGCCGGCACCTGATGACCTCAACGGTTACGGTTGCGGGACGTGATGTCATTTGTCGTCGCTAATGTATTGCGATTATGCAAGAGGTGCTCATGCATGATACCAAGGGTGCGTCAGGAGGGGATATTTGATTCCGAAAGCGAAACCCGGGACTTCGTTGAATTAATTTGATAAACACTTGCTTAACTGGAATCAGTCATGCGCGTCAAGCCTGCCTTTTCATTGGCCATTTAAACTGTTTACACGGTTCTATTTAAAGGTTTACGCGTTCGTCCTTACGAATCTGGAAATTTTCCAGAGGACGTGTACGTAGGGAAAATTTGGCTGGATTTGGAAAAGTTCATTACTCGTTGATGTACAAGGGAGGCGGAGACAGAAATTACGAGGTAACTGAAAAATAGTCTGTTTTCAGGAACTTTTTTTGTAGAAATCGAAAGGGAATTTTAAAACAGGGTCGATTGCAACCTCTTGGGGGATGAATTTTAAATGGATTTTTATCGAATACACATAAACCGAAGCAACTTTTATTTGTAAATCGATTTTAATGTACAGATATGCTGTCTTACTTTAACCACTCAAGTTACAACCACGTGTGTGTTGTGTAAAAGTGTAAAAGATGTAAGGTATCGTAAATACCTTAAGACTTTTACTACCGAAGGCTGCGCGTGTCGCGAGTCTCATCCCTCATATCTCCGTTCCCAAGGCATGCACGCTATCACTCCAGGCATGCCGTGTCGTCTTCATTGATAAACTACATTCAGCCAGGAGAGATCATCGCCGAAGATATTGTTTCGCGAAGAGGGATAGGGACCCATACGTGGGAAGTTGTTCCCTGCAGGACTCGCGGGAACCTTGCCGCAAGAGAATTCTCAGCATCGCTGATAAACTTAATTAGGCCCGCCAAGGATAGGGGAAGTCCCTTTCGCGAACTTTGTGCGTCGAAGAAAAAACGTGAAACGATTTGCACGCGAAACGCGTGCGTCTCGCCACGCCATCGCGTTTTCGCACCTTGATGTTATTTTTAACTATTATGTTCACCGGCGCGGTGTGTTGTAGGTTGAGGTCTCAATTAAGCGTAAGTTGTCAGCTCTGTTCTATGTCGGGGAATGCTGATACGATTCGGCTAAAGGAAACATATTTCGCGGTTATTCGAGATAAATATGAGCGGTTCACTGGACAAATCGATTCACTCCACCAGTCACATAAAAATGTTAACATTAATGACGATTATTGTTTGGCTATTCTTTCTTATTCATTTTATATAATTAAAGGTACATCTGTGTTTATGCATTCTACAATATTTATTTGAATTTATATTTTAAAGGGAATTTTCAAAAGCAATGTACATTTTTCATCGCATTTGTGCAATGAACATAAACATTTTGGAACTAGTATGAAGATTAATTAACCAAGAGCGTTTTCTCTTCTGATTTCTCTCTTCTTTTTGATGAGCACGTTAGTCATGGTTATTTCCTACGATAAATTTCAAAGAATTACAGTATTTCAGAAATGTTATCTTCAACACACGCATACCGGGTCAATGATGTACTCTTTAATTCGCAGCAATGCGTAACTCCTCCTACGTTTATGCTTGTAATTTGTTACTACGCTAGCGTGCCTGACATTTCACCACTAACACTATTACAACCAATACTAATTATACAATTGGTGCCAATGGCCGACAAGCTGTTCCACGAAATAGCTATCACTGCCAAAGAATTACCTGTTTCGTTTGTTGACATTGCAGCAATGGCAGAGTGATCGCAATGGAGAAGTAATCGTACAATTTAAGTAACTTAGTCCATGTATAATAACTAAACTGCGGATCTTTATGCAAAATAAAATCTTCGCGAACGTGCCTACAAAAATATTTATTTGAATAGGATCCCTAATAGGAATTTATTTTATTCTGCAAATGTTATAACATGAACTTTACTTTTAATCTTTTTTATATTCTTATACATTGTTTGCATTTTGTAGGTTCTTGCATATTCAAATTTCCTATAAATGCATCAAGATCCGCAGTCTAATAATAACGTAGCAATACATAAATTAATATT